CAGCTGGCCGCGTTTACATTTACAGCGGGAAGCAGGCATCCTCAGGGAATGTGACAGGCCACTGCAAATCATGGACATCTCCCTGTCCTGAGGACTGGGTAAGAAAACACAAAAGTGAAATCAGGACATGAGGTCATAATGACAGCTAATTAATTACATCCAGTGCAAATATCTGGTGCATTCTGACTTTGTTTCAGAAAACAGGTTACTTATGTTTCTGAATCTGTGTGATTTGGCTCCTCCTGTTTGTTCTTGAATTACTTTGCTGTTCAGGAGCCAGGATTATGGCACTGGTCTTCTACTATCCTAGTGTGGTTCTCTCCATTGACTTTTTATTTTCTCTTATTTTCTTCTTCTTCAGGCACAGTATGTCCTGATTTCTGCTGAGGTAAGTAACCAGAAAACAAACCACTGAGAGAAATTAAGAAGTCCCACTTTAAAAAAACCTAACAGCATTATAACAAGCAATGCTGTTTTACAGGAACTATCAAGATTTGGGAGTTCTGTTATCACTGTGAAATCTGGAAGAAAGGTGAGAAAAATTAGTTGCTTCGTAACATCTTTTTGCCTCACTTGCATATATTCATCTGCAGAAGTCTTAAGTGATTTACCTAGTTAAGCCACTCTCTGAACTGATAATTTAAACCATTTTACGGGTGGATGAACTATGGAGTTGCCAAAATTTTGGCACCTGACACCTGGATTGAAAGAGGTCCCTTTTAAAACTGCCTGAAATCTAAACTACTTAGGAGTCTGCTGAAAGGTTGCATGGCAAATCACGTGTAGCTGCCAACTGGCTTTACTGTTCATGCCAGCCTGTATGCAAAGTGGATGCTCAGCTGTGAAGTAAACCAGGCACAGCACCAGCCACGTCATTTGAGTATTTACAGGCTTGCTGCCCTAGCTGTCACTTGCAGGGAACGCTGTTCGTATGTCAAGTATTGCCAAGCACAGAGAGGCTCAGTTCTTACCTGAACGAGTTTGGATGTGTTTGTGTACCTGTTTGTTTCCCTCAGATGCCCATTATTTTCACTAAAAGTCAATCCCTACGTTGGTATGGTGCACTGAAGAACGACTTTTCAGCTTGAAGCTTGCTCAGTGCTTGTTCAGCTGAGGGGAGTCCAGTGCTCTGCGTACTCTGACATAACCTGTGTGAGAACTGAGGTTCGCTGTGTGAGTACTGAGAAAGCCTCAGTACTAGGCTGAGGAGGCATGCGGCTGGTCTTCAACAAATGGTGTTTCACTTCTTGCTGTTGAAACACGTGATGGAGAAACTCCTGGAAATGTAAATACTTCTAAGCTAGGTTAGGGTGCATAATCCAATGCCTGACACATAAGCTTCACTGATGGTTTCTGCAAGTGCAGGTGAGGCCATTCTCCAAGCACTTGTGTTCCTTTGCTATGGCACCAATCCAGTCCACGCCCCACCCGTCTTGATCTTACCCCCAAGAAACAGTTTATATTGGCAGGAGATTTGACTGGTTCCAGCTTCTTCCTGTTCCACAGATGAAACAAAGTATGTTTGCCAAATCATTTTGTTAATGGTTACTCTGCTGAGGTGGGTTGATCACTTGTTTCTCCTCACATTTCTGTATGACACTAATGATATGGACAAAATCTGGTTTCCCTTAAGGAAGCTTAAGGCACTCGAACACCTGCAGGTGAATTTTGCTAACCCTTGTTCTGTATCTCTGCAGAAGGAAGTTGTAGTGGCAGCAGAGAGAAGTTCGGCAAAAGCTCGACTTGGTGGAAGGCTTTTTGTCTACTCACTCTGAAAGTTCATGGTGGCCTTTTAGACCAGGGCACAGCTGTTCTGCAGTGGAGAATCTCTGTGGTATCTGCATTACTTTCCTTAACCCATATGAACCAACACACCACGTGACAGCAAAGATGTTCCAGATAGCTAGATAGGGTCCTAGATAGTAGTAAGGGAGGGAGGGATGGCCACTTTTTAAGTGAAGGGGAATATGATCATTCATGGTGGTTTGACTTACCAACCAACCAAACCTATGTGTCATATAAAAGCACAAATTAACTGTTGTGAGCAGTAGCATCGCTCAACCTAGAACAAGCAAGCTGGTGTGAAAACCCTTTAGAAGCTGAAAGGAGGAGGCAACTAGGTTTTGGTAATACTTAGCTGAAGACGGAATGCTCAGTGGCCACCTTTACTGGTCAGATTTCAGTATTTTCTTGACAAAACCAGGAAAGAATAGCACATAATTTACAATTCCTTGTATACGTGATACACACAGGGATTCTAAGATATCAAAAGCTGCTGTCAAAATAGTAAGTATGGGTGAAGGGCAGCTTTAAGCCAGACAGAAAGGTGGGTGCCAGCCAAAAGGACTGCCTCTGTCTCCAGCAAGTCTTGAGGGCTGCGTTCAGGGTATAGAAAGCTGGGACTTCCCGGGGAGAAAAGCGCAAGCAAGACTGATTCAGTCTTAGGAAATGCTTCTGCTTTCGCACTTGTGGCTGAGACTTCTCCGACACCCTTTCTTCGTCTTCTCAGGCAAAATTCCATGATGGTGGTAACTCAAAATTGTTAACAGCTTTTATTGTTAACAGTATTGTCTTCAACTAATTAACACTAATTTTGTATGATGCAGGTTTAACTGTGTATCAACTTACCTATTAAACAGCTTGAGCAGCATGGTGTGATGCTGTTATTACCACACCACTCCACAGACACACATTCTCTCTCTTGCCTCCTTCACAAGCATAGAGCATTATTTTTATTTTAGACAGCACAAGTCAGTGGAATAGCAGAGTTCTAAAGGTCATCCTCCAAGATGACTCACCTCAACTCACCTTCTTAGGAAATGTCTCTCTCAGGGAGATTGTTTTAAAAAAACAAAACCAAAACCCCAAAAAGGCAAGGTGAACATCAGCTTGGCGTGTAACGTGTTCTGACCTCTATTTTGGGGACTTGCCCAAACAGCAGAACACTTAGGGGAAAAAAAAAAATTAACTTAAACTTTATGAAAGTAACTACATGGAACTGGGAGCACAGTACTGACCTTACAAATCTAACTGTGGTCTGAGGCAAAATGAGCAGTGTATTTATAAGGGCAGAGTAAAGAGTGTTCCTTTTTAAATGAAAACAGATGAAACCGGCATATTCCGTAGCAATGCCATTCTGAACATCCAGCCTCCACTGGCTTTGGTTGATTTTTTTTTTAACATATGACTTTTATTGCACCTGAATGGATTTGTAATTGTAAGAAAACTATCAAACATTTGCGAATGTCTGTAGAGAATGTCTTGTAAAAGATGGGTCTTTCTCTCAGTGCTTTTATTGTGCTTTAAGTCAGTTATGTACAGGAAAAGGAGTCAATGCAGTTCACAGAAGCCTCTCAGCACAAAAGACAGAGCTTGGGAAGCTCATGTGAAAGCTTCCCAAACCTCTGCAACTACAACTGAGTTGAAAACACCAGCCTCTGTATCCTTCACATGCGGGGCTCTATCAGCCAAGGTATGGGAGGCTTTTTTTTTTTTCCCACTGGATTGCTCAGTTTAGAGGTTCTTTCACATCTTTACCTAAGCAAAAAGGCTGAAAAAAAAGATTCAGCTAAAGAACTCAAAAACATTCCAAACCCCATTAATTTTCTCACCTTCTCATGCCTTTTACAGCTGTAGCTGAAGTCACACACAGAGCAAGAACAGCTGTTTGAAAATAGTTACCTACCACTGGTTTTAAGCATACTAGGATCACAGGCCTGCAACGTTTTAATTTAGGTACCATTTAATTTCAATTTTTGACTTGTTAGTCCTGAGCAAAATTGTTCACAGCTACAGTTACTGTCTTTTCAATCGCTGCCAGTACAGTGGTTTATCTGGTGGCACCTGAGGAGTTACACTCACTGTATGTTAGAGAGGTTAAAAAAAAACCCAAACAAGAACCAGACAGCTTGTGACCTGATCTAGAAGGATTTCATGCTCCCTCTACAGAGAGAAACCAGTGGAGACCTACACTCTGAGTTCAGAGAGACATCCTAAGAAAAACCACAACAGCAGGCATAAGAATTTTACTCCTTCCTTCAGTACATCACAGGACACCAGGCTTCCATGCCCTTTACTAACCTGGCTACTCACTGCGGTGTGGGCTAGTCCATGCTTTGTCTTGTCTTCTTGGAGAGGAAAGAAAGCAGAGCCCAGCTTAAGAGAAACCAACAACTGCTCTGTTGACTTTTACCAGCATTTCCATCAGTCCTTATGACAACACGAGGCATTGCTAAGCTGCAGCTGTACTGATGCATGCTGAAACTGCAGCAGAGGGCAAGCCCCAGTGTGCATTATCACCAGGCCCACTTCTCCTGTTACTAAAACCACGTATGTTTTGGGCCTAAAATAATTGTAGGGAACACCCAAGATAAGCAGCTACATATCAAAGCCTGTTATTGCTCATTTAAAAGAAAGGAAACCTATTTCTGGTTGGTGCCAGTTTATAGGTGATGCTTCACAAGAGATGCAGGTATGCTTTTTGCTTTGGAAAATCTGGTCTCAGCAATTAATGAGAGCCTCTAAAAAAAAAACAAAAACCCACTAAAAAGGCCATTTCTGGGGTGGATTCTTCTTTGACATTTGAAGTCAGATTCCTAAATCTGTAGCTCAGAACCAGAATTATTCATGAATGCTGACTGCTGTCATGCTTTAAGCTGAAAATACTGTTCTCTTTAAGAAAGGCCATTACATGAAGAAGTATTTGACAGAAACACTTGAAATGAGGATGCCCAAAAAATAAATACATGTATGTGACAGAGAAAACTAATGGAACATACGTGGGGTGGAGGTGAGACTACTGTGGAAAGCATGTCACTGTATTCCTCTGTGTTTCTCTCCTTTTGTGAGTATTAACATCTCACCATAGGCTTCTGGCACCAATTATATATTAAATTAGCAAGTTTAGAAATTCTTGCCATCTTCAGTAAGGAAGAACAAATGCAAGGAAAGTGTCCAAAGTCCACCCGGTAACAGTAAAAGTCTCTTCGTTCCTGCTGTTCCTATTGGTTTGTTAATGTGCTTCTGCTCAGCCCAAATGTTTCTGATTTAAAGTTGTTCTTCATCTCCACTCTTCCAGATGCTGGCTGGGATTTTTTCAAAACTGCAGGAAGCTAGGCAAGATACAAAATAACCTGTGATTACATGAGAAGCTGTTCTACATGCAGTAGAAGGAAATTAAAGCTTCACAGTGGCCTGAACCCTGATTTATCTCCTTTTATTTTTAGAACACTGTCTCTGGCTTCTCCCTCCCTAATCCCTTTCCATACCTCTCTTGCCAGAGTCAGTTGATGTGCTGGAGTTAGGCTTGAGCAATGCTTGAGGATAATCCTTCCATCTGTCTCTGGCAAGGGAGGGGAGGGAAGAAGGGGAGTTTATCTGGGTCTCCCTGTCTTTTGTCACTTATAGCAACTCAACTTTTGAATCCACTGATACCTTCCTGTTACAAACACCAGTGTGCAGGACAGAGATAGACAATGCAGTCCCACAAGCCTTGGCAGGAAAGGGTAGTCAGTGGAGAACATGGCCCATGTAAAATCCTGCTCATTTGAAGACAGTATCTGTGGAAATCTTCATACAGCTTGGTACAACAGGGCCCTACGATGCCATCAGCATCAATGGCAGAGAGCCAGCGTGCATGTGAGGAGCTATTCCAAACTTCAAGTTGGGAGTCAAGACATCACAACCACGGCACCACGCTCCAGCAAGGTGTTACAACTACTACCTGCCCTCATCGTCCTTTCAGCTTTACCTTCTCTTTTACAAGACAGGGACTGCAGACCCAGAGTTAGTATGTGGGTGGGAGGAGGAGGGCAGCACCCTCACTCTCAACAGGCTGCTGCAGCAGCTGAGGCGGCAAATTAGGGCTGCTTCTACCATTAGCCTCAGCTTCCCTTGAGCTTCCAGGTGAAAGCAAATACAGCATGGCCCAAGGAACAGCCTGCAGCTTCACTCCTGACAACAGTGGGGAGCATCTTACTGCTCAAGTTTATCTTTGCCAGTGCTGGGAGCTTCCCACCTCATTCAGTCCGACCAGGGAGAACCTCCTCCTTTGTCCAGAAGCAGACACTGAGCTGAACTCCCCCGTGCTCTGTGGCCCACCCCTCTACAACAGCTTATCTCCTGCTTTAGAAATGGACCCTATGTGCAGAGCGCAGCAGAAACCGCAGCCAGCCATACATACGTGAGGAGGTAGTGGAGGTTCTAGGTGCCGCCCGAGGAAGGAAAGCAAGCGTCGCCATATCAGACCGCTTCCCAGAAACATAATCCCCGTCACCAGCCAAAATATTCTGGGGTCCTACCAACAGAACATTACCATTAGTCAGCTCCCATTAGGGATTATCCAAAGATAATCTCACTCCCCCACCAGTGTTCTCCTTTATGGGAGGAAGTGGTAAACTGTTGACCATCAACAGCCAAGCCCTACCTTGGGAAAAGGGCTGTTTCACAGCAAAGCATTTTATTTAAGAATTACCCTGGTGTATTCTGTCACTGTCCCATGCAGTTTTCTTTCCTTCATTGTGAAGTGTGGAAACTCAACCCTTCTGTTCAGTGGATTTGGAAAGGAAGAAGTCTTTCCTTTGTTTCGGGTTTTTTGTTTTGTTTTAAAGACAGCATGTGCAACTGCTAATTTGTAACCCCCCAGAATGGGTATAAGCGTGTAGCTGACAGCAGACTAATTCCTCTGGTGTGCTGGAATGCCCTGGCTGCTTGCCAGATACTCTTGTATCTGGAAGCCAAAGCTGGTCTTTTCAGAAGACTAGATGATCCTTAAAGAGACCTTAATGCTGCTTTATAGTCAGTCCTTGCACAACCATAGATTTGTCTTCCCATTTCTTTTCCATGGCCGTTACATAAAAAAGAGGCTGCAATACCATGCAGTCAGTTAGCCATACAGCAATTTGCTTAGAAAAAAGTGACTCCATGAGCATGTGAATCACTGGACTAAATACAAAAATATAAATCTGGAGCTTTACCTATGGAAGGAACGAAGTTGTACTGAACATAAAATGCACTGTAAGAGTAGGGCCCATGTTTCATGTCACTGATAAAAGCAGCACTCGTTCCTCACCTCTTCAAGAGACGATTCCAAGTTCATACCAAATGCAACTCCTATGAGTCCAAAGAGAGACAGAGAGAAAGTCCCCATAGTCAGCTGCAAGTTCAGTCTCATCATCACATTACGGTGGCTAAAGAAGGGAGAAATATCTGTAAGGGGAACCCACAAATCGATTTGCTGCCTAAATTCTCAAATTCCACACAGCAAGCACTGAAACCAAACAGTGAAAGAGAGGAAGTCGTGCCGGAATTGGGCAACCCAATGACAAGACTCATGAAATAGCAGTATAAGGACATGATCATTTTGAAATCGCTGCATCAGGATACCTCCAAGGCAGAAGGCTCCGCTTAATCATCATCAGACCTTCCAGCATTGCTCACTTCTTAGAGGTCTATATACACAGAGTAACAGTAAATTTCTGTGAGAATTTGTATTCTCTCACCACTAACTGGCTAGACATTGTATGCCTGTATCCACAACAAACAAAAATTTACTGTTACCTTGCAAATGAATATACTTACAAAGAAGCAGAGTCGGTAAATGCTGCAGGCTACAAACTTGAGCCTGTTTTGGAGAGTTCCATATTCAAGTCTTCCCCAAAAGGATTTTTGTGGTTTCCTGATGCAGCATCCACCAACTGCTTCTACAGATAGCTCCCCAGTAAAGAGGAGAAAGAATATTAAACACTGACCTCAAAGACAGTGGCATGTGCTTGCAAATCCAAGCTACAATTGTTTTTCAGTAAGAAAGCTGACTAGTAGTGAAAACTGTAGCATACAAACTACTCACTCCAAAGTTATTGAACCGTGTATCACGCCACAAAGTGATAATGCAACTTCTACTGAACAGCCAGGCTCTTAAATAATTCAATTTCGCCGAATTAAACTTTCCTGAGTGGAATTTTATATTGCTTATAAATTTGCAGATGTTTCCGTTAGTGAACAGCTCCCTAGAAGGATCTAGGAGAAGCCAGGTTTCTCCTGCTAGGGAAAACTGATGCATCACTAGAGAGGTTTTTACACATACTAATTAGGGTGTCTTGCTGCTTTGCTTTATCCAGTTCACTGATATGGAAAGTGCAAGGCAGCTTCTTGTGCTGTGACTGCAAGTCAATTCAAACTGTCAAAAGATGGAATTCCCCAACTCTCCTTGAAGGCAGATTTGAGAAAGACTAGGCAGCAAGAAATTCTGCTTAGCTTTTGGCAGTCCAACAGATAAGGCAGCTAACCTGTCCAGGTTGATAAAGATTATGCTTTCTGAGTCATCAATCAGTACTCTGAGTTCACGAGCTTCATTTGCAAGATCTTCTGCTTGTCTGTAGTAGTTTTCCAGCAGCAGCTCCATTTCCTCTGCATGGTCAATCCCAGACATACTCTCCTCACTGTGAGCAACAAGTGATATTGTTCTGGTTAGCTACAGGGGGTCCAGAAGTGTGTTACCGATGTGCCAAGACAAGGCACATGAGAGTTATGGGGAACAGCCAACAAGAGCGCTGTTAGATGCTAGATCTCAAAATCCAATCTTTTTAGTGAGGAACTTCCATCCATAGCAATAGCTTAAAATAAAAGGCATATTTTTATACCTATCAGCTGATCAGCGTAGGCAGTCAATTATTTTGAGTAGAGCAGTTAGTATTTGAAGTGCTCAAGGCATGCACAACAACACAAATCTTACCGTTTCATATATTAAAAAGTTATAAAATTATATATAAAATTTGTATTATTTATAAAGTTTTTGTTACTATAAATGTTTATATTATTAGTAAGTTATAAAGTGCTGCCAATTTTGAAAGGAGATGCTTAATTTCTTGGTGCCCTCAAGCGGTGGAAACTGGTAACGCGCAGTCAAAAACTCGCAAGACTAAAACAGAATCAAAAGTCAACATACAAACAATTGCACAGCAAGAGAGACGGTTTGGGTGTGTATAACAATAGCTCAGTTGTCAGGTGTTTCGGCTATACACAGCAATTACTGCAAAACGTTTTGGGAGCATGGAGGAGCTGAAGAGCGAGCATCAAACAGAAAATGCTTCTCTCCTAAGCGAAGGCTGTCCGAGAGACTTTCATCCGACTTCATGGCCCGACTGCTAGTGCGGCAGCCTCCTAACAGACATGTATGTTCTGGTGGTGTACTGGGTTGTTCACTGGGTGGATGAAAGCTGAGGCACCCCATATCCACAAGAGCTTGGAAATTAGCAGCAAAGCCAGGAAGATTCTTCATCCTTTTTTTGCCTTTGTGGCATGACCTCATTTCTCTAGAGAGACTCAATTTTTTAAAGAATCTCCTCCTGGTGTTGCTGGCTGTTAAAGGAACCTCTCTGAAATGGTTTACCAAGAAAATAAGCGATATGTCTTAAGAATCAACCCACGTAAGCTCCCTGAGGACATTTACCATAGCCCATAGTTTCTCTCTTACGGGGCAGAAACTTTTCAGTTAGCTCAAATGATTTTAAAGCTCTCGGAACCTTGAGGTTTTTACTGCATGCAGATGAGAGGAGCTGCAGACTTAAAAGCCTCAGAGCACGATCGTCTGTATTACGGATTCAGCTCCAGCAGATGCATTAGAAATGCAAACCGCATCCCACTTCCAGAATAATGAGTTTCTGCTGCACATTTAGACCAAGCTCTACAGGGCCAAGAAACTACCTCCTGATTCCAAACCCACACTACTGCATGAGCACTACTAATATCCACAGACAGTGGTCAGGCAAAAGTATTACTTAGCAACTTCAGGAAGGACCCTGAAAGGTAGCCTGTTATCTGCTTGAACATAAACCATGTCTGTATGCCCAAGATTTAAACACAATTCAGCCCAAACCACACTGGGATCTGATATACATTATCTTTTTGCTTTTTAGTTTTCGTGAAAGCGAGCAGTGCTGCTGCTGCCATGTGCTGTCTCTCACCAGAACTGAGAGCACGACAGGACTATTTCTGCACGTACATTTTTCCTGAAATGCTGCTCTTCAGGTGCACAACAAGGCTCCAGGGCCTCTTCCCTTCAGGTTCTGCTGGTGAGCAAACAGCTAGAAGGTGTTCAGGACACTTCTAACAAAGGAAGTGGTGCCTGACCTATTCAAGACAAGCTTTAAAACCTGCCTCTTCGGCTTTTTTGGTGAAACTGAGGAAAATTCTCCCAGAAAGCATTCATTTGTATTGAAAAAATGACATTTGCTTTTTGTCCTCCTGCCATCCTGCTCCCATCCCGTTACACACCAAATAAGCTGACCTGTTATGCCAAGAACTATTTGAAACTGCATAATATCACTAGTGCTAACGGAGTCCCTCTCAAAAATGGCAAATACAATAACTTCTGAAGCAGCAAGCATCAGGGCTTTAAAAAATTAGAAAGTCTTTTTCTTTCTGCTTTTAAGCAGGGAACACCCACTTTGGTGTTCAAGCTCCCCTTAAAGCACACTGTTAAAAAAGTATGTGGTTTCAAAATGTACATACAATACTTGCACATCAGTCCATTTAGACAGACAGAGCTCTTCTATTAATTCTTCTTCATCTAAGATCTCCAGAATTGTTTCTTTGAAAACTTTAAGGTCGGTTTCCAGTTCTGACAAGCTGAAGAAAGAACAGGCAAAAGGTGAAGTAACCTCCAGTGGCACCAGTGCACAAAGGTAACCTCTAAACGAGTTTGCTAGCCAGCACCCTGGCCAGGCAGAATGGCCAGGGAATGCTCCCTTGCAGGGTTCTAAGAGCTCCTTCAAAAAATTCTCTACAGGCCACACGCTTAGCAGTGACAGTGATCTTTCTGGGTACCAGTGAGCTACAGGCACACACTAAAAGGGATTCAGGTGTCTTTTCTGGCAAGTCAGACAAAACAAGCACGCCGCGAGCGTGTAGCAACTGCGTATTTGCACCGTCATACCAGAGAGGGTAATACAGGAAGGCACCAGTGGGTAAGTACTAGTAACCTCAAAGCACAGGCCCAAAGGCTAATCTTGTTCTACATTATGGGGAACATTTTCATGATGTTATTTTGTTCTCTTAGGTATTACTTTGTTCTGTCAGATGCTACTTAAGAAGCTCAACTGTATTTATGACAACTCAGAATAGATTTCCCTTTCTCTGTTTTGCCCCGCATCACTAGGCATTTCACACACCCATTTGTACATTTACAAATAAGATGCACAACACAGCATTACAGTGATCTAGGAAATTAATATTAGACGCCATTTTTCTAACGTTTCATTGCACGTAATTTTCTATGGTCATCTTCTAGTCTCTTCACGGCTTACTCTTATTTACCTCTTGCCATTTTGCAGGAGAATGTGTAGTTTACTCCTATCCACAGACAAAAGCTTGGGATCCACTAGAGCTTCCAGTGTCTCAAGGATCTGAGGCTGCAAAGTGTTAAGTCTCCCCTGCAGTTTGCTGATCTAGATAACAACATGATCCTTCATAAGAATTAAAGCAATCCCTTTAGAACGACTTGGGCAACTGGCTCCTGTCTCTGAACGCAGAACTCCCACTAACAGGCAGTTAACACAATCTCCTTTACAACGCCCAGGAAATACTTGCTATGGGGATACCACTTATAAGATAAAGCCAGTGCAAAATACAGGATTTTATAAGTTATTTGCACTGAACTGAAACCCAGTGACAACCACACCAGTAAGGCTGATAAAGCTAAAGCACTGTCTAGAAATGTCATATGAGCACCGTGAAGTGCAGATTCTTAAGAATAGCTAGAAATCATTATCTGACTCCTGCCCAAGAGGCCAAAAACCTCAGCTTTTGTGTGACTTCCATTTCAGCTATGGCATGCCTCTAGAAAGGTACTCTAACTCGTTTTTTAATTGTGCAAATGATGGTGAAGCCACCACATCCAATCAGAACCTTCTTGGGAAGTGAATGGAAACACACATACACACAAAACTGTAAAAACTAAAGCAACAAAAGCCAAAACCAAAAAAGAGTTCCTACAGTAAGTGCGGAACACACATACAAATGTGTATGTATAAATGTTAACACAAGTATAGAATCATACTGTCCTTTCTATGAAGCGACAACTTCCAAAACAATTCAAATAAAAATGAGATAGCTCACCCGGTACTGCAGGATTGCTTCTATGGCTCGGAATTCAAAGGGCAGGGAACACGTAACTAGCTGGCCTTCCCCAGCCAGCTGAGATGCTAGTTCGTGGAAGAGCCAGTGTTCCAAATTTAAATTACGATAATCTAGTATCAGAAGAAACTCTGGTGTTATGACAGCCTTCAAGAACTGAAAAAGACAGTACATGTAGAAGTCGGAAAAAAACCCTGAAGATTTCTCATAACTCTGTAGTGCATTTGATCATTTAGGCTTTGATAAAGCCACTCTTCAGATGTCTTTTCAGGCAGGAAAATAACAGAATCTCATACAACCTGCGAACGAGTGGATTCCCCATGGTTCAGACACAGCACTGTGCCAGTGGTGGTATGATTAAGAGGCTCTTTATAAGCCTTTGCTTCTATGACAATGTTAGTTATGTTTCTCCTGTGCTTAACTAGGAAAATGGTCATCAATCTGTACTGCTTGTAAACCTGTACCTCCGACTGCGAGGCAGAGCTCCGAAGGCACATTTACAGCTGGTGTTAAGAGAATCACACAAGAAAACGCAAGTGCAAGGACGGTTCAAGTTTACGCTCAGCTGCAGGGAAACGATTACCTCCATTCTCATGATGATCCTGTTGTTCCTGGCTGCAATGCTCATTAGGTGTTGAAATCTGAGATCTCGAGCTTGAAGACCCAGTTCCTGGTACAATTCTGTTTTCTTCTTTTCTACCATTAAAATATTTTTAGATGAAGACATTGGCGGCATATATGTTCTGAAATAACATTTTAGTGTGTTACTGAGTCCTGCAGAAGAACAATATGCTGTGCTACCTTTAAACCAGTTTTCCTCCCAGTGATTCCTCAAAGTAATTTATTCTTTACGAAGTTTAGAAGACTGTATCTTGAGTGGAAAGAGAAAAATTCTAGCTATAAGTGAAAAAGTTGTCCATGACAATTTCACATCAGAAACCAAGCTACTCGTTTGAGAAGGCACAGGTAATCCTACAGGAAGGAAAACACAAGGCAGGGAAAGTAGCATCCGGGTCAATCAGGGACAAGACAAATAACCTTCTTGTGAGAGATGGTGTACGTTATTTTCAAAACATTAGTTAAAAATATAGAAAATCTGTAACAATAAAGACGCTATAAAGAGCAATAGAAGGCAGCAAACGGAGGAAACATCACACCCCCCAAACACACACAGTAAAGTATCCCAAATATAATTTTCTACCCCATGCAAATTCCCAATTGGACTTTTCTGTATCAGACAAGGAAAAAAGACAAAGAAAAAACAAACAAACAAAACAACAATGAAAACTCACCAAAATAGGTAGTATTTCCCTCTTTGTCAAGCTTCATCTAAAGGAGTGTAAAAAAATATTTTTTTTTCACTGAACTACTATAAAACCAGAAATCAATTTCTAAAATTGTTTGTACTTGCCTAGACGTCAAACAGAAAATGAGTTATGAAGAAAAAGCAACATTTTATGTCCTCTCTTCGTAGTTCATCCCAATTAAGAAAAATATTGCACCAAACTGCCACGTACGTCACCGTGGTTGTGCACGCACCAAACAAAACCAGTGCCGCCTGTGTGACCATGTTCCCACGCACACCCCAGGAAGGAGGTGGTTTACAGAGGCTCAGACTTAGACTACACTGTTTCAGCTGGAAGGGACCTACAATGACCATTCAGTCCAACGGCCTGACCATTTCAGGGCTGATCACCAGTTAAAGCACGTTGGTAACGGCGCTGCCCAAAGGCCTCTTCAACACTGACTGGCATGGGGCATCGACCGCCTCTCTAGGAAGCCTGTCCAGCGTTTGAGCACCTTCTCGGTAAAGAAACGCTTCCTCACATCCAGTCTAAACCTCCCCTGGCGCGGCCTTGAACCATTCCCACGCGTCCTACCACTGGATACCACGCAGAGGAGGTCAGCAGGGCATCTTACACTTTGGATTACAACTTGCTATTTCCTCTAGAGCAACCTGAAAAATTTATAAATAAAACCTAAAAAGGTGTATCACAAATTGGACAGTTAGGCCTTGTGCCCATTTTAAGTATTGCAATAACACACCATTCAGCTAAATCCTTCTTGTTCTAGCACTTGTCATTCAGACTATTCACCTAACTCTTGTATCTCCTAGTAAACCTATTTTATTGAAAAAAATGTAGCGTCTGGTTTAATCAGAAAGTTTGCTGTTTTGCTTATAAACCACGTAGCTTAATTCCATATTACTGGCTTTAAAAATAACTTCCCATGAATTACAACATGCTTAAGCATACATTCCAGTAGAGCTGCAACAGGGGTTACACAGTCACAAGGACCAGCTGCACGCACTCTGCTGCAGAACAACACCTTTTCGTTCTCAGCAAGGCCTTACCTTCCCTCACATGTGCCCACAACGTCAACCAAGCAGTCTGCAAACAGCTTTCAGCCTCATTTTTAAAAAGAATATATAGACTGCTTGTTCTTCCCCAAATCCTATGTTTGCTCAGGACTGCAGCTAACAAGACACAGGAATAGTATTTCTAAACCGCATCAGCAAGCCCTGACAAACTGAACAAGGAACCTTCTGACTGCTGCCCTTCTGAGAGCTGACCTACCCTCGCAATTAAGGTGAGACAACTTCCAGCAGACAATGGATCGTAGCATCTTGGTCAACGCTGCATATCTAACTGGCCCTCCTGTCAGAATACCTTATACTTTAGAACTAGGGGTGTCCTCCGAGAGACGAATCCATCTGCTTTCATAATGCTTTAAATAAATAAATAAAAGAGCACCATCCTGCCCAAGCTGCCCTCGGTGCTGGCAAGGCCCGCACTTACTCACCACTGCAAAAACAGGAGACACGCTGGCCAAGGTAGCCTGGGAGACCTCTGGTGTGGCATGCTGATACCGTTCACCTGAAGAAAGACAAGACATTTCTACTGCCAGGACGATGCGCCTTGCCTTTAACGACCCGCTGCCCTGCTACAAGGCACCGACACGACGCACCGGAAACCGAGAAGCACCGAGGACGAGAAGGCCTCTAGGAACCCGACCCCGTCCGGCAGAGCCCAGCCAGGAGGCCCATACCGCACCGAGCACAGCTACCGCCGCTTTGGTTTCCCAGTCCCCGCCCG